TTTTATTCTGAAGTATTTTTGTACATTTATTCCTTACAATCAGTTTTAAATTCCATGTAAATTCCAGGTTATAAGGAAACAAAATGAAAATGTATCCATTGGGGTGAAAACATTTTCAGTTTGCTGTATTAAACTCAGATTTTTCATCACTTTCTTTAAAATATTTTTTTTGCTGAGTCAAGCATCATGCCACTCTTCTGAGGTGTTATTTTTTTTTAAGAAGTTATTTCAAATTCTTCCATCACTGCTCTGAATCACATGGAAGCACATGTTTACCATTAGCTCCAAGCTTCACCATCTGTGGGTCAGAGGCACCCCTGGATTATATTCACAGCAGTAATCAGTAAGACTTGCTGGCAGATGTTGTCTCGTTTTTTTTTTTTTTCTTCAACTCTTTTGTCTTGGCAGCAAAAGCCCAGAAATCACTGATTTATGTYGACGAGGAGGAAGTCAGAGCCAGGAAAGAGAAAGCAGGTCCAAAAGAAATGTGTTGTAGACCTTAGAACATAGATTATTATTGTGTCTTGTCAACAGAATGAGCTTTCATGAGTGGTCAAGATTTGAACCGTCAAAATATAAACAAAGAGGAAGATCTTGGAACAAATCAAAAATTAAAAACACAGTGTTATGTTTAAATATCTTGCATAGGAAACATGTAAGGGAAGTTTCATGCGTCAAGACTCCTAGAGCTTTGTCGCCTTTTCTAAAATACCAAAACATAAACTTTGGACTCATTTATCATCCAGTTTGTTGAAGTTAAACATTTTTTGTGTTCAATAATGGTTCACAGTGAAAGTGATGTAATTTTTTTTTTTTTTTACCATATTTGGTTCTTTTTTATCGCTATTTTCACTGCAGTTAGACTGAACCAGCTCAAACTAGAACAAAGTCAGACCAGRTGTTTTTATTTTATATTTAGGATTGAAGTATGATTTTGAAATTCATGTTCATTAGAAGAGTATCTTTTAAACAATTTTATAGTTTTAACGGCCATATTGGTTTTATTTGATCAGAGGACATRGTGAGGTTGCACTTTGCACAAAAACGTTTGATGCCTTTCACAGACAAGGCTTGGTTGCTTATTTTTGCTTGAGCAATGTTTTGCACTTGTTTCATTTTCAGCACAACGTACTGTATGTTTGAAGACTTCTCTCCTTCTAAACGTCTCCCTCTATGTGCACCTTAAACTTGGCATACTTTAATCTGTGTTGCACAGCTATATTAATCCAAAAGCAGATTTATTTGACATTTATTTCGCTGTTTTGTTTGCGAACTTAATCTGAAATAGTTGTTCATATCCCACAATGTGCTGCAGTTCTGCGCCCTCCTGCTCCTGAGAACAAGAAACCCAATCTGGTGGGGGAATCCAAAGATGATGGTGAGGCAATCAATGAGGAATGTTTTCAGACCACACAATATTAGTCATCCACAYTGTAATTCCATACAGAGTCAGGCGAAAACAAAGATTTTAACACATCTGTGTGGAGGCTATTCCATCAGGAAAAACTTAATATGATATAATTTGAAGGAATGGTTTGAGTAGTGTTGTAAATGACCAGCTTTATCACTATACATTTTATATTGATTTGTTTGGACATGGTGATACGATGTTTCTCAAAAGCAAATTCACAAGTCTGCTATCATAATGTGATGGCATGTGCTCATCTAACAAAATTTTTTTGTGTTGTGGGATATTGATCCACATCAGGCACATGATAGRTCAGTGTTTTTGTTTTGCCTTGATGTAATTAATTCATTCATAATTTAATCAATATATCAGTGTGGATCAATGTATTGTTGCAGCCCTAGTAGTGCATCCAAACCCAGACGAAGCAAAGGTCAGACTCATTTGAAGGACAGCAGAAGAACYAGGTTTTTTATTTATATTTTACATYACTTGATGCAGTGACTTTACCTTTTCCTCCAACAGGATATATTCTGCAGGGCTTTTGTGCTGCATAATTCATTGTACTTAGCAAGAAAACAATGCTCACATCTTAAATAGTGTTAGTTCAAATGTTTGCTTCTGCACAAAGAAGCCTTTATTTTAACATTATAACAAACTAAACATCATACTGAGCAAAGAGCAAGAGAATATGTGTTTTGTTRGTGCATTTCAGGATCCTTTAGTTTGAACAGATGATTCTTGGCAGCTCTTTATCATCTTTTAGGCCCTTAAGGGATAGCAGACCTTTCAGCCGCCAGGAAAAAGGCCTCTGGGCTGCTCGGTGAAGATGGCCAGAGCAGATGGATCACAACTGTGTGTTGCTGTGAGTCAGATGATGGAGAAGAGCTGATACTCTCTCTCTCTCTCTCTCTCTCTCTCTCTCTCTCTCTCTCTCTCTCTTTCTCTCTCTTTTTCTCTCTATCTCTATCTTTCTCTATCTCTCTTTCTCTCTCTTTTTCTCTCTATCTCTATCTT